ATATGCTCATAAGTGTTTTTATAGATGAGCCAGAAATTGTAGCTCCGAATTGCAAAATTTAGTTCAAATTAAGTAACGTTGACTCAGACCGCTCTCTGCGCTCTCTGCTCAATCTTCACCAGATTGAAGGCAAGAAGGAAGTAAAGCAGTCGATAACCTAACAAGGTTTAACAGATAATTTCTACCACGACGCACTTTTAGACCCCGGCTCGTCAAAAATTCTTCCTAAGACACGAGGCACTCTGGAAATTCATGAATAATCATCCAAAATCGTTACATATTGTTACTTTGCTCTATGATGACCCGTGTCTCCAGTAAAAATCTTAGCTCGAGGATACGTCTGGTTTTAGAAATACAGCGTTGACAAGTTTCCATATTTAAGCTTTAAAGATTATCGTATTATCAAGTATCTTACTTTCTGTAAACAACTGTCATTGGATGCTTCATGATATTTTAAGACATTTTATCAACAGTCGGTGTACATTTTTCTAAAAAAATACGTTAATAATAAATAATTTTTCTACGTTAATGCTGTTAATTCCGTGATACAACGTTGCAAACTTGACATCACAGACCTATAAAAATGCTCATTTTGTTCCGTTTTTTAAAAAAACGAACTTATTGACCACCTAAAGGTATGATAATGTGGTTTAGCTGAAATTCTATGATAAGATTAGTCTTGTGTAAAAGTTTCACCGCGAGTGTAAGTATAGATTTAACGATACAGCGTTGCAAAGTTTATGTATATAAGCTTTAAAAATGTTTTTATTTTTAAGTTCAGTGTTCGTTTGTTTGTTTTTTTTTTTTGTTTTTTTTGTGTTTTTTGTGTTTTTTTGTTTTTTTTTTTGTTTTTGTTTTTTTTATGAAATAAACCATTAACGTTATCTGCAGATGTAAGATTGATTTGTAGTGATACAGCGTTACCAAGCTTACAATTTTGAACTCAACGAAATATGATTTATTTTTAAATTTTTTTTTTTCCAGTTTAAGATAAAATCAATGGGTATCATCCCTCTTATCAATCCAAAATATCAAGGTCTGATGTCGGTTCCAAGTGACAATTGGTTTTTGCAATAATACTTTCACCAAGTTTATTCACAATTCTCTCCAAGCAATAAATAATAGACGATTTTAAAATAAAGATGCTTCCAGTAGTTATTTGATTTCGCTTATTTTTTATTTACATTGACATTTTTTTCTTTCATTTTTATATGACTTTCTACCGTACATTATTTTTTATAGTTTTTTATCTTCTTCCTTCAAAATATTTTATTCATGTGATGCTTCAGTATCAGTCCTGTCGTGCCTTCAAATCTATAGAAAACGCCTCGACATGATGCCAATTTTAAACTTTCACCCTCCCAAAGTCATATTTAAATAATTTTAAAATTCTCTCTTAAGGAGGCGTCTGGGTTTTTTTATACATTAACGCAACAATGATTTAAATATTCTATTTAGGTTTTAAATTATATTTTATTGTTTTGTTGGTGTATTTATTATTTTTCGTTCATTTAATTTACTTTGCATTTTTTTTTTTTTTTTTTTTTCTTCTTATTTCTTTAATATTTTCAAAATCTTCCATTCTTACGTTCAACATACTCAGTTTTTTAAGGCATAATGAATGTATCGTCTGTATCAAGATTTATTTCTACTTAAAAAAACCCAAACGCCTCCATCCTATGTTAGTTTCTTCATTACACCTAAAAAAGGTTGAATTTGCAACTAAGTCTAGGCAGAATATTTCAGATCTTGAAAGCAACGCTGATGCTGAATTATCCATTGTATTCCAAAAATCCTCTGGAATTACATTTTAAAGTAAAATAACTATTGGAAGTATCCTTATTTTTAACTAATTTTATACAATCGAATGTTAAAAGAAAAGCAGATAAAATTTGCAACGATGTCATTTTAATACAATTGTCACCCAGGATCAACATAAAGCCTCACATTTCGCTTCACACTATTAACCATTAACTCATATTGTATTTTGTCTCCAATACAATAACAAGAAAAAGTAGACATTTTCATAGATGAAAGATGTAAACTTTGCAACGCTGTATTGCCCAAAATTATCGTATACTGATTACATCTATGCTATACGTCTAAACTTTGCAACGCTGCATTGCCTAAAATTATCGTATACTGATATAAATTTTACTATGAGTCTGCGAGTATCTCTAATTGTATATTTTATGTCTCAAATACTGCTACAAAATACAAAACTATAAAAATGGGTATTTTTAAAGGGCAAGAATGTAATTTTTGCAACGTTGTACTGCTATTAACGGCTCATCCACAATTTGAAACTTTTACTACGGATTTTCTTATAATTTTTCAGTTACGCGTCATGTTTACTTGAAACTTACATTACTTGTTACTTACATTACTTTGAAATTGGCTTTTGGAAGAAATTCTTCAAAAATATGAAGATTTTTAAGACTCAAACATGCAAACTTTGCAACGCTGTAGCTCCAAAACCAATGGCGTGGCGTGAATTGCGATTTATCGATTGTCTTGCCATTTAAACCTATGAAAAAGGATCGATAGACAGGGTGTTCGCAGCGAACTCCTTAATAATTGATTCTTTACCATAGCTTTAAAAGGCATGAGAATCGATACATCGAAATTCACGCCACGCCACTGTCCAAAACCAAACGTATCCTCAAGCTAAAATTTTTACCGGAGGCTTGTCTCATCATAAGGTTTCATTTCGGTCACGTACGAATGAAATCTCCGGGTTTCAAAAAAGGTCGCTCCTCTGACATAAGGACGTATCTCACTTTTCACATGAACCGCAGAAAGCATGGATTTGAATGTGACCCAGGGCTCAAGAGGAAATTGAGATTCGCTCTTTCGTCAGAGGAGCGACGAAACGGGGCCACTCATTGGGAGGCTTTTTAATCGATTTTCCTCCCTCAATTGGACTGCATTTTGCAATTTGGAACTATAAATTCTGGCCCGGTTTAAAAAAAGCGCATGTGCCATCAGTATCCCTATGCACATAAGTGTTTTTTTTAGATGAGCCAGAATTTATAGTTCCAAATTGCAAAATGCAGTCCAACTCGTCGTTACCTCCCACGGAAGAACATAACTACATTTGGATTACATTTTGCAATAAGGAAACACTATTTCTGACTCTTCCATAAAACCACCGTTCTGCACAGGGAAACCAATGGCATATACGTTGTTTCAAAAATGAGCCAGAAATAGTGGTTCCTTTTTGCAAAATGTGGTCCATTTCATCGTTGCCAGATTTCGCCTCGTAAATTTGAATTTGTAAAGGAAAATGTTAGGTATTAATTGTAGATTTCACTGATTTTTCCGCTGATCTCATGAAAAACGAAAATAAATTTTGGATAAAGATTTCGCTTTCTCGTGTTTGTGAAAAATTGAATTCTTTGAATCAATTTGACAACCTTGGAATGGAGTTACGTTTCTTCGTCCGGGAAATGACAAAAAATGAAGCTGAATCCTGTCGTAGCGAATTCAGTGAATAGTTTATTCTGCAGAATTTTGGAAAAATAAGACAGTTTCAAGGCATTATGTTCCTTAGTTCTGCAGTATTACAGAAACAGAACATCAGGGAAAACTGGACCGCGTTAAACAGAAAGGAACCAAGCCACATCAGCTATTCCCAAATTTAACAGGGGAATTTAATTTTTTACGAGAGAACGTTTGTGCGGATTCCTTTAAAAATGTGAAGGAATTTGCTTTGTATTATGGAAAAAATTCATAGAAATTTGCACAAAAATCCGCACAACTGTTTTCATGTAAAACATTAAATTGCCCGATTAAATTTGGCAATAGCTGATGTGCTTGGTTCCTTTCTGTTTAACGCGGTACAACTAGGCACCATCAAATGCAGTTAAGTTGATTCTACCTAAAATCGCCTAATGATGACAGCGGCGATGATTAGCGTTTAGGAAGAATGAGGGGCTTGTAGGACAAAGCGCGTAAGTGCAGTTTTTGCTACCTCGAGAAAATATTGTTGAAAGTCTCGAAATTAAATGGGACCTTACGGCGGAATGAAAGTTCAAACTGACTTTTTGAAACTTAAAAATTGAAATTTGAGAGGGAATTTTTCACAAAATATGCACTAAGACTAGTTTTACTTGAAATCATTATCGAGAAATATGTATTTGAAGTCTCAAAATTACACGGATCCTTATGTCGGAAAGAAAGTTCAAACTGACTTTTTGAAGCTTAAAAATTGAAATTTGAGAGGGAATTTTTCACAAAATATGCACTAAGACTAGTTTTACTTGAAATCATTATCGAGAAATATGTATTTGAAGTCTCAAAATTACACGGATCCTTATGGTGGAAAGAAAGTTTAAACTGACTTTTTGAAGCTTGAAAATTGAAATTTGAGAGGGAATTTTTCACAAAATATGCACTTAGACTAGTTTTACTTGAAATCATTAAAATCTCAACTTTTTCAAAAACTGCACTTATGCGCCTTGTCCTCCAAGCCCCTCAAATTTTTTAGCAGCCCATTTCAAAAATTGAAATTATTGACAGTAACCGATTCATTAGAAGTTGAGGTGATTCAATGAACGTCATATTTTGTGCCAGAACGACAGGCGAAATATCGCGTCGATTAGTTTCATTTTTTCAGCTACTCGTAATTTTTCTCGAATATTGAGATCGCAATTCTGTTGTCAGGAGACTAAAGAATTCACCTACCAAATTTTGACAAACAAATTCATCGTAATGAAGTCGTGGGTTTTCTTTATGAGACAAAATATCGCATTCGAATGCAGTATTTTGCCTCTATTTTCCTTACGCCTTTAATACTTTGAATTAGGTCATCAAAATTGATAAGTGAATTATTTAGTCTCCTGACAATGGAATTGCGATCTCAAAATTCGAGAAAAATGACGAGTCGCCGGAAAAATGGAACTTATCGATGCTATATATAGCATGCCGTTCTGTCACAAAATATGGCGTTCATCTAATCACCTTAATTTTCGAAATAGGAGGAAGCTTGAGAGATCTTACCGTGAAGAAGCGATGATCTGCAAGGTCAGGAACAGCTCTGATGCGTAGGGTGAAGATTTCCATCCTCGTTCATCGCCTTCTCAAATGTTGGCTGCAAAGAAAAAAATTAATTTAATTAATTTTCTAGAAAATGGAACAGCTTAACAAATTAATTGAAATAATGTTGAAAAATAATGGAAAAAAACTGCTTTTTTACCACAAAATTACAATATTCTCACATAATGCATTCAATAATAATCAATTTTCAACGATTAAACATTTTCATATCGACGACTTAAGGAGATTTGATGGACGCCATATTTAGCGTCAGAAAGGCATGCGATATATCGCATTCATTGGTACCATTTTTTCAGCAACTCGTCATTCCTCTCCAATTTTGAGATCGCAATTCTGTTGTCAGGAGACTAGAGCACTCGCTTACCAATTTTAACAATGAAATTCAACGTAATAAAGGCGTGGTTTTTTTAGAGAGAAAATATCGTATTCGAGTGCAGTTTCGATATCAGTATCGAATGCAATGTTTTCTCTCTAAAAACACCACGCCTTTAGTACGTTGAATTTCTTTGTTAAAATTGGTAAGTGAGTGCTTTAGTCTCCTGACAACAGAATAGCGATCTCAAAATTGGAGAAAAATGAACACTGAAAAAATGGAACCAATTGATGCGATATATCGCATGCCGTTCTGACACAAAAATATCGCGTCCATCGAATCACCTTAAGTGTAGAAACACGCGTTTCCGTCTGCTACTCAACAGATTTTCTGTCATACTTCATTTTTTCTCGGGGGAACTGGTCTACCTAATTTCTTTAAAACTTATCCGTGATTTTTTTTCAATTTTTGCAGAATACTTTGTATAAATTTCAAGCTATGAAGTTTGCTTGTTTCTTTTCGACAAAATAAAATAAAGGTGGAAATTTTATGACACCACAATAGAAATGCATGATTTTCCACTTTGGCCATCGATTTATAAAGAAGTTAGGTAATTCGCAAATGCAAAAAATTGCAACACATTTCAATACGCAGAATACCTCGATAACTCCACTGATTGTGAAAAAAATCTCGAGAAAATCAGAAGATTATCGCCCACAGGGATTCTCAAATCAAATATCGATGGCCAAAGTGTGAAACCACCTATCTCCGTCTGCGACGTCCCGGACCTCCTGTTACACTTTATTTTTTCTTGGTAAAACTAGTCAACTTATTCCTTGAAAACTACCTCGATTTTTCCTCTCTTTTAGCAAAATATTCACTGGAAAGAAAACACATTGGTTCTAGAGTCGAGACTCTTAAAAACATCGACAAGAAAAAGTACTCTTGATTCAATCAAATCTAGCTTAGATCAAGAACCAAGCCTCTTAATTTCAGCGGATTTCCTTTTGATTCAAGCAAAAATCCGATTGAATCAAGAGTATTTTTTCTTGTCAATGTTTTCAAGAGTCTCGACTCTAGATCCAATGTGTTTTTTTTCAGTGTTCTGTAAAGATATCAAGCCAAACAGTCGACTTAATTTTCCTCGAAAAATAAAATGGTAGCATAAAATTTACTGGAAATACGTGGTTTCACACTTAGGTCACCGATATTAAATGTAACCACACTTCTCTCGTAAAAAAAAAGAAAAGAAAAAAAAAACATTTTGTTGATGACATCAAGCGACTTACCGAATCTACGCTGAGGAATACACGTGAGCAAATTGACTTCCGAAATTATATCCTCAAATCAAATTTCACAGAAATATCACTGAAAAGACACTACCGAAAATTCGCACGATGACAACCGACACGAGTGACTAACACTACTTCCACTTATTGTAAAACACGGCAAACTATCGCACTGGACGGAAAAAGTAGAGGCTTGCAGACTAAAACATTCGGCGGATAGAAAACTTTCGTCTAAGGTTTTTCAACTATTCACTGCACCTTCTATACTTACGAAATAGTTCACAGAGAATAATTTTAATAATAAAGTACCGAACACGAAAATAAAGTACCGAACACGAAACTGAAGTACCGGACACGAAACTTGTTCAACTATTCACTGCACCTTCTAAATTCACGGAATAATTCACTGAGAAAAATTTTAATAATAAAGTACGGAACACGAAAATAAAGTACGGAACACAAAACTACACTGACGGTAATGCACTTGAATCACACGACTATCACTCGCGGTCCCGAGATGAATATATTTCCGATAAAATATACTTCCGATTGATTATCCTCTACGCTCAAGTTCAACCCCTACGGCTGCGCGACTTCGACTGACCAAAGTACCAGAAGTTCCGAGCCCTCGAGGTCTCCAAAGTTTTCCTTGTTGTTCTCGAAAACAAAAGAGTGACTTCGATTTCCAAAATATCCCTACATTTCGGGTTTCCCAGGTGAAAGGTCAGTGCAAGCTCACAAAAGAAAATGTCTTCATTGAACTGAAAACTAATTGGATGTATTTCTGTCTAACGGAACTATGTGCGTTAAGACATTAGCCCTGAGACCCATACAAATATGTCCATAACAGGGCTCACGTCATAATGCACGTAGTTCCGTTTGATAGAAATACGTCCAATTATTACAATAATTAATGAGGGTACCTGGATTTCCCGGATTAATTCAACTCTCACTTTTCACAACTTTCCTTTTTTTGCTGAAAAGAAGTGAGGGTTCGTCCATGAATTACGTAACCCATTTTTCCCGACCTTTGACCTCTGCTTCTCCCTTTGTCCTAGATGTCACTTACCTCCACCCCCCCCCCCCCNCCCCCCCCCCCCCCCCCCGAAAAATCTTTTCATTAGAAGCGTGCCTCCCTCTTTTGCGTAGGTGTGGGTCGTCACGAATCCTTGCCACGGGTGCATCACATATGAATTCAAGTGTTTAAATGACTCAAAAACAACATAAATCACATAAGAAAAATCTAGAATCCACTCCTCCTTCAAGGCATTTCTTGATTGTAATCGACTCGGCTTGAATTCTGCCGTGCGAAGGAAGAACGCTGCACGAAAATTCGAGAGTTGCCAAGTTTCCCTTGATAAAGCATGTATTTTTTACGACATTTATGCATATTTTTCCTTTAAAATTTCAGATATTTACATTAAATTGCGTGCAAAATCGTCTGAAAATTTCGGGGGAAAATATTCACAATTTTCCCGGTAAATGGTTCAGTTGCGTTGGTCACAAAATCGTGGTTTTATGCTTGAATTCTTGTGGGTCAGCTAAAAATAATAAGATCCGTCCAAACAGCAACTTTCTACGTTCAATATTAACAGAGATATCGCCCTTTGAAAAGACAGGTTTTTGATGTCATCCATCGCGGTAGTGACACCCTTGGTTTTTTCACCTTGCTTTCATCCAAGTATCACGCTAAGTAACCAGTGCATCACTGACTGATAAAAGCTAGGTGGAAGAAACAAGGGTGTCACCACCGCGGTGGATGACGTCAAAATCCGGCTTTTTAAAAGGCGATATCTCGGCTAATATTGAACGTAGAGAGTTTGGATGTTATTATTTTTAGCTGATCTACAAGAATCAAGCATCGAAACACGATTCTGTGACCATCGCAACTCTGCCGTGCTTAGGAAGAACGCCGTATGAACATTCAGGCGTTGCCAAATTTCTTACGGCAAATCACCAGTTTTCTGGAAAATTTGTAAAGATTTTCCTTCCGATTTTTCCGATAGTTTTGTTCTCAACTCCACCTGCGGTTCCTGAAAATTTCAAGGAGATAGATTCATACCTTTCTTCAAAAATAACTATTTTCTGAGAGGAAATTTGACAACTCTCGAATGTTCATACGGCGTTTTTCCTTATTATGGCAGAACTGATCCAATCCGGTTTTTATCAGAAGAAACTTGGCAGCGTCTGAAGGCTCTTACGACGTTCTCCCTTAGCACGACAGAATTAGACACTAAGACTTCGATTCAATGTACTATTGTCATGTTGCCTGGATTGTGCTTTGTGAAATCCTCTCGGACCCGAGCATCCGATGCGTCTCAATCAAGATGATCAGGATGCATTTCCCCGAAAGGGCAATTGCGCCGACACGAATCCTCGAATGCACGATGCCATGACCGCCTCGATGAAGAGATGCTTTCACCTATAGCCATTCATCTCATCCTCATCTCGTACGCAGCATCCTGGGCTCCCGCCTTGCCAGATCGTCATAGACGGCGACCGTCATTTCGTCGCTCCTTTGACGTACGGGCGTATAACAATTTCCGCATGAGTCTTGGAAGCATGGATTTCTATGGAAAATAAAGCTCACGTGGAAATTGAGATGTGTCTTTTCGTCGGAGGAGCGACGATTTGATGCGTGATAATGTCTTGATTCGTCGATCCTTTGATGGAGGGACGTAAGCTCGTTTCAATGTTGGAAAATTGATCAAGGAATTCGCTTTTATTGAAATATGACCGGCAATGGCCTGATCATTGCAATTGATCGACAAAGTTAAAGATAAAGAAGACTAAGAAAAAATATAGCGATCCTATTGATTGAAACGGCCGATTATTGAAGACTGCGGTCCGCTGTCTAAGACAGGGAAAAAGTAGGATTCGCCAGGGAATGACAAAATGAACGTATTTCTACCAAACGGAACTATGTGCATTAAGACATGAGTCCTGAGACCCATAAGTGTATGCGCATTACAGGGCTCACGGCATAAATTATTGGCTCAACTCCCTTGCCATAGACAAACAAAGGGGGAGTCCAAGGGGGCCTGGCCCTCTTAGAGCTGAAAATAGTCTCATATGCCCCCCTCTCAAAAAAAAAAAAAAAAAANAAAAAAAAAAAAAAAAAAAAAAAAAAAAAAAAAAAAAAAAATTTCCAGATGTTTTGAATGCAACAATTCGCAAGTATTTTGTGCTGAAAGTAGAAAAAAAAAACATAATTATTCCGCAGAAATGGATGGAGGAATTCTTTATGGAAGCTTCAAGATGCGTCCGATTAGTCGTATAAATTCTAAAATTTCTCGGGGGATGCCCGAGAAATTTTATGTAATATATAAATGCCCGATGTAATATAAAAATCTAGCAACCTCGATCTTGACGCTTTGGCTCAGCTGTAGCAAATTGCTAATAGTTTGAACAACACATGGTGGGAAATGAACATTGCTCGATTGAGACGCTTGCAGAAACCGTTGTAGTGCGCGATTTGACTCACGTAGAGCCTTGAGTTTCTTGTGAGCGGGCAGTTCAAATTCCGCATAACTAATGTGAAATAAAAACGTTAATATCTTTGTTAGGAGTTGGTTTAAGTAATTTTCGTTGTGCAAATCGTGCTCTACGTGAAATTCTGGTTAAGAAACATGTAAAATTTTGAAAATCAAATTTCATCAAATTCTGTGAAAAATTCGCTCCCAAATCCCAATTTTAAGCATCGAAGAGTCAGTTTGAACTCTCTTTCCGCCATGAGGATCCGTTTAATTTCGAAACTTCAAACACGTATATTTTTCGAAATACCAAAAACTGCATCATGCGCCTTGTCTTCATAGCCCCTCATTTAAAGTAAAGAACCTGTCGACAAATTGTAACTTTGTAAAATATAGAAATGGGCCTGTTGCACCAATTTTTTTTATTGCTTTAATCGAAAGACCTAAGGCTCCTGATGTCACAGGAATTTTCNGTGCCCACGAAAGAACCCCAGCAGCAGTGGGTGTTGAGGAAAGTTGTAAAAAACTCATAAATTTTAAGAGAACTTAAAATTTACTTCAGTACCATTTGAAAATTACGTAAAAAAAGTTTTGAAATATTCGTAACAGGAAACCCTTTTTGGAATTTTTTTACATTAAATTGAAGAACAATTTTAAGTAAAATTTACTTATTTTTTTTTAATACACTTCCTGCGGGCAAAACCGAGGAGGAAAAGGCGGTGAACAGAAAAAAATAAAAGGAAAAGTTGCAGCCCATAAAAATTGAGGATATAGTTTGTTGTTCTTCACGTAAATTCTACGTTTTCATTTAATTAAAATAACACTATTTTTTAATTTAAAAGAATTCCCCAAAAGGGTTTCCTAAAACGAGTATTTCTAGAGTTTTTACGTAAAATCTACAAACTCTTAAAATTTCACACGTGAGTCGGTGAGGTGCTGTATTACATGCTCACAATCGATACAAATTAAATACAAATTTTTTTTTTTTTATGGACAAATTTTTGTAGAATTTTCTTTAAGAGCCATTGTTACTAAGGGAAGCGTTGAAATCTTTGAATTGATACGTGTATAGGTGCAATATTAAAATCATTGACTCGTTCCTTCATTTGAGTGAATGAAGGCAACATCTCTTGATTGAGACCTTCATTAAATGCTCTCATATTGTATCGTCTTGATAGAGACTTATTATGTATGTTTATCGCACGCCAGTTATTGACCTTTCAACACACTTTTTACGATAATAAAAATATGTGAATACCTCACGTAAAAAACAACCAAATACTGCATCTGTAAGTGAGTTTAATTTTGGTGCCTGTGGTGAATCAACTACTCATGAACAGTGCATGCCAACGTAAAGGTCAGTATTCACACCCCATTCCGTTCCAAAATGAAGCACGTTGCTCGAGAAACCCCGTGAATTTCGAAAGGGTTCGAGTGAATCATATGATTAATATAACTCTCATCAGTGTGAAAGAAAAAATATAGACAGCATAATTTTTATTTTTATGGTCCCAGAAAGTTTTAGCGGAATAAGCACTGTATAGGTACTTGCCAAACTTCCTAAATAATGATAAATAGGAAAGGGGGAAAAACGTGGTTATTGGCCGAATTGGCGATCAATTCAGCATATTTTTTTTCTTCTTCCCCAAAAAATTCAAAATAATTTTTTTGTCGTGACTGTGTAAAATGTGAACAGATAATAACAACATTTAATTTTAGTATTATCATGCGCACGAATCATGGCAAGCAGTGACAGTGTTGTTCGAGTTTATTTTTAAATAAATGATTTGTTACAAATATCGGAATACCTATACGTAAGTACATTTCACAGGATACAACTCTCGCTTATTGTCGGAGAAACTCCGCAACCACTCACCTCGATTTTTGGCTATTTTGAGTTAGCTGCAGGAATGAGGTGAAGGAGATGTCATCTTTCTACCACCAAAGTATTTTCGTCGCAAAAAGTCGGGAAGCCTCTTAAGAACGGAGAACTTCAAACACTCATCATGGAGTTTATTCATAAAATACTTTTTCGTGCCGCCGCGCGCTGCTGCGTTGGCATTCCCTCAACACAACGCACGCTATCCGGGGAAGAATATCTAATTGACAGCTCCGAAACATTAAGAAAAGTATGCACTCATTTATATCAATAGTATTTTCAGTTCATTATGCTCGTGACTTGAATGATAACGCGGGGTAATATTTTGTTATCAATGTTGCATACGTGCGTAATTGAAGGCGGTCTATCAGTAGAGAACCTCATGGAAGGGGATTTTGTTGATTATACTATTTCTGGGGCATTTTTTAAAATTTTTTTATTATTATCGTAGGTATTCAAAATTGAAAAGTCTTAAAAAGGATCTCATCCCGATGTAAGTAATATTTTCCCTCTACTTTCAAGGATGAAGAGAGTAGAATTTTTTCGTCCTCCTGAAGAATGGAGTTACTTGGGTACATAGTTTAGAAGCTCCACCCTCGTGATGTACCTGCCATATAACCTGNATCTACCACCTAAGTATTTTCGTCGCAAAAAGTCGGGAAGCCTCTTAAGAACGGAGAACTTCAAACACTCATCATGGAGTTTATTCATAAAATACTTTTTCGTGCCGCCGCGCGCTGCTGCGTTGGCATTCCCACAACACAACGCACGCTATCCGGGGAAGAATATCTAATTGACAGCTCCGAAACATTAAGAAAAGTATGCACTCATTTATATCAATAGTATTTTCAGTTCATTATGCTCGTGACTTGAATGATAACGCGGGGTAATATTTTGTTATCAATGTTGCATACGTGCGTAATTGAAGGCGGTCTATCAGTAGAGAACCTCATGGAAGGGGATTTCGTTGATTATACTATTTCTGGGGCATTTTTTAAAAAATTTTTATTATTATCGTAGGTATTCAAAATTGAAAAGTCTTAAAAAGGATCTCATCCCGATGTAAGTAATATTTTCCCTCTACTTTCAAGGATGAAGAGAGAAGAATTTTTTCGTCCTCCTGAAGGATGTAGTTTACTTAGGTACATAGTTTAGAAGCTCCACCCTCGTGATGTACCTGCCATATAACCTGAGAGGTATGCATGTGCAGAGGAATCTACTCTTTTAGTGTATTTTCCGAAGAAAATACACTATTGTTTTCTTGTACATTTTAATTTTCGAGCGAATATTACTCCGTATTCTTACCAATTGAGTTGTTTGTCAACCATGTGCAGTTCGGAGTGCAATACACTCCGAATTAACTCCTCGCAGACGTTTACCCAATGATAAATGTGATTTGAGTCTGCTGGTGGAATGAGGACGCAATGGACCACTAGACACGGGACGAATTTCAGCATTCTGATACATGTTCCTTAACTAAAATTTCATGTAAAATATGACGCGCACCACGAAAATTACCGAAATCAACTCCTTCTAAAGATATTTAATGATTCTTGATGCGTGAATTCAAACCACCCGCTCATGAAAACTCAATGCTCTACGTGATTCACATGGTGCGCTAAACGTTATCATGACAGTCTCTGAGATATAAAAATCTGGCAACCTCAATCTTGACGCTTTGGCTCAGCTGTAGCAAATTGCTTATAGTTTGAACAACACATGGTGGGAAATGAACATTACTCGTTTGAGAAGCTTGTTGAAACCGTTGTGGTGCGCGATTTGACTCACGTAGAGCTTTGAGTTGCTTGTTAGCGGGCAGTTCAAATTCCTCGTAACCAATGTGAAATAAAAAGGTTAATATCTTCGTTTGGAGTTTGTTTCATTAGTTTTCGTTGCGCGAATCGTGCTCTACGTGAAATTCTGATTGAGAAACATGTATCAGAATACTTAAATTCGTACCTTGTCTAGTGATCCATTAAGTAAGTTAAAACTTTGCTGTTTTTCCATATTTAAGAATTGTATTGCCGTAGTTCCTAAACAGTTTAGAGTGAGAACGTGAAGCTGGAAATAGAGTTTTCATGGTCACGTTTTTCTTCTTTTCAACAAATTCATTCGAAAATAATGGCGTCCAGGGTCGCCCGTATTTCGCCCCCCCCCCTCCCACCTCCAAATAAAATCCTAATTCTATATTGATTCCCTACTTTATTTGTTATTTTTTTTTTCATAGAAACTTTCAAAACCCAGCGATGCATAAACGAGATGAATATGTATTTTACAGGAACTGGGAATGATCTGAAATGGCTCCTTTAGATTGGCAGCTGCAATGTTTTTTATCTCTGGTCACCTTTGCATTCTCTCTATACAACAGCTTAGCTCCAAAGAATCGCATACCTGCTTTGACAGATGCCCCTCAGGTAGGTGCAGTCGTCCCGTAAATCCCAGCGATTTTTTCTCTCGCAGCCTGGATTGTATCCATGACCCAAGTAGCAGTGATCGCGATAAATAGCAATTTTATCGGTTGGTTATCGCGATTATATCGGAGGAAATATATCGAGATATTATCGCATTAAAAATTGCGATATATGGCGATTAAATTGCTACACATCGCAATTTTCGGTTCGACAAAAGCGTGATCAATTTTCGTCGATAAAATCAAGATTAAATCGCCCCTTATTGCGACTTTTATTTCGAAAATATCGCGATGAATTGTCGGCGATAAAAGCGCGATAAGATCGAGGATAATCGCTCAGATGTTGACGATCCTAGCGATTTTATCGCCGATAAAATCGCAATAAATAGCGATTTTTTTCGTTGAGAAATGCTACTTGGGGATAATGTTTTCTCCGTCTAAAAAATCGCTATAGATGACTCAAAACAAACGACTAAAACAAGGCGCTTTCGGTTGCCAAATCAGCCGACTATAACACATTGATACGTGTGGTTCTCTTTTACATTAGTATCAAAATAGCGGAAGCGCCTTCCTTCTTCACCCATGCAACACGGGCATCCATAATGTATGAATAGTTGTATCATTGCCAACGAGATAGCGTGTGCGTCTTGTCTATAGGTAGTAAAATCATCGTGTTATGCCTCTCGTCTTACATGACCTATCATGATCTTGCTTTTATTGTTGTTATTTCAACGTAAAAAAATCAAGTGCGATCATTTAACGATGATTTTTCAATTATTTTTTTATGACAAAAAGTCAGAATTGCAAGAATCGTAAAGAGTTTCAAATAGACCATCATTTTGGGAAATAAATAGCCAACAAATACAATTACGTATAAATACATGATTTATTCCGATTATATACATGATAAATGCAGATTTAATAAATCGATCTTCTTTCGGTTCGCCTCAATTTATGTATATATTTCAATTTTAAAAAAAATGGCACGAACTTTAACGTTAATTTAGACTTACCTCATCCGAGCGGTCATTATGTTTTACAAAGTTTGTAACGTATAATGGAATGATGGTGTTGTTTCAACTTAACTTACTTTCAATTACCTACATTTGGATGAAGCTTTTTTCAAATCAGCAGAGTGTGGCAGATCTTGGCAAATGTATCGGTGCCTGTCACAGAAAACACTCCTTCTTCTGAGTTATTATAGAAGAAAAAATAAGAAAATGAATAAACAGGGTTATGTATTGAAAATATATATTTTAATTAATAATGATGATCGAATAATAGTTGGACGTATTTCTATCAAACAGATTTATGTGCAGGTGAGAAATATGGGGACTTCGTCCAAGCGTTATATTTTAGTCGGTATGTGAAATTATATTGACAACATGGAAATGAGAAATTGAGAGAGAAGTAGGTGTTGTTATGGTTGCTCATTTTCTAAATGAAGTGTTATTACTTTCTCCTTTTGAATCATCTTTTTAAATTGTCATTGGTGAATATTTGGTTTTATTTCTATCCTCAAAATATTCGATGTAGAATGTACCTTATATATGTATAGGTACTTCTTTTGTATTTTTTTAATTTTTTCTTTACGAAATTATTACTCCATTTTGAAAAAATTTATATTTTCAAAACGTGACAAATATTTGTAAAACCTGTTCCACGCAACATTAATCTCAATGAGCCGCAGTTGTGCCGACAGAAACTGCAAACACGAATAAAAGAGGGGAAAAAACCAAGAAGCACGCAATCTTTAGTTTTAACCCACTTGTACATCGATCTTTTAGAGTTAAATACGTCAAATTTTGAGCGTTTGGTTGCGCGTACACCTCGCTGCAGCACAATTAAAGCACAAAATGTGAAAGAAAAAAGTAAAGTGCTTTGGAAATCATTAAATTTGACACGGAACCACCAATATTTAAAAAACACACATTATATTATTATTCTCCTTTGATAAATTGATATATATTTTTTCCCATCAATTCAAATGAGAATAAGCAATGCAGAGTGTGCAAACATTTCAAAATCATGAGTTAAAAAACGCTGACTATGCGAGTATAAAATATTAAAGCCTAACAGAGCGGAGCGGCGTGCGCGTGCTGCCAGCGCGAGAGGCTCACTGGCGCCTACAAACCTAAGTGAATACTTCACGCATTGCATATGCACAATGCTTGAAGTATCCACTTAGGTTTGTAGGCGCCAATGCGTGTTTCGCGCTGGCCGCCCGCCCGCCGCGCGCCGTTCAGCGGCGCCTGAAGCAACTAGGTGTTGCACAGTATTACACGAAATTGAACATATTAAGAATGACAGGCATCCTTTAAAAGTACAGATCTTTCCTCGCAAAATAAATCTAGATATTTATCGTACACAGGAAAAATCTAAGAGCCCCTAGCTGAGGCAAATACAGAGGTTTATCCAGTTCAAGTATAACAAGGTGGGAATTTCTCGAAATATAATTAAGTCCTGTTTCACAAAAAATGTGTAAAGAGTTTCAGTGAATTTCGTCTCATGGAATTGACGCTCCCCCATGTTTACCAAGACTCTCAACTGTATATTTTTCTCCGTTGGACCAAACAGACAAAACAAATAACAAGCAAACCCTCATTCTTCCAAGACATTAGACCTAAACATTTTCATCCAAAAACGTCGTGAGGAATTGCCGTTTGTATTTACATGTGGGCCAATTAACTTTGGGTCTCAACTGGCACGTGGACCAAAACACCCGTGCCGGAAAAACGCGGAAAAACAGGTGCGTGGACAAAAAATCGTTATCGAAACGTCCTATAACTCCAGAGAACTAAGCACACCCCATAATTCTCACTTGCTTACAAATCTGTTTTGATAGAAATACGTCCAATTAATAGTAAGAATCGTTTCTAGGTGCAGCCCGAGTATGATTTCGTAGTTATCGGGGGCGGCTCTGCCGGGGCGGTTATGGCGAACCGGTTGTCAGAATTGGAGGATGCGACAGTGCTGCTCCTGGAGGCGGGTGGCCAGGAGACGGACCTCTCCAGGGTCCCCCTGCTGGCGTCTTGGAATCAAGCAACGGAGCTCGACTGGAGGTACAGAACAAAACCAGCCGATAAAAAACGCCGCTATTGCTTGGCAATGACCAACACGAGCTGCACTTGGCCGCGGGGAAAGGTCCGTGGTGCTTTTTACCGTTTTTGTCCCTTGAAGAAAAATGATGGTAACATCCAGTGTATATCCACATGATTTTGTACACATTGATACTATTTAGTGAAAATTACCAGAATTGTGGTAGTTTTCACCAGGATTCTGGTGATACTTACCATAATATGTAAATGCTACCACAGAATCTGGTGTTCATTACCACACTTGTATCACTGTGCCAGAATATGGTAAAATGCACCGTAGTTTTTTTTTTTTATTGAAGGGTCTCACTGAGGGAGGAGAAGGGCATACCGGGATATTTGATTGGATTAGTTTTGCCACCTACAGTACCTACTCTATATACACGTAGAGTGAGAGAGTTGCCAAATTTTAGAGATATTTGTAAAGAGAATTTGCAGGTGTCTGAAATTTTGCAAATTTAATGTTTAAAGTTCAGATACCAAGAGATTTGAACACGAGTATATCATTGGTTCCTGAATTGCAAAAATATTGGCGGAAATATGACAAAGTATCCAAATCTGCTGAAGTACATTTGGACCACATTTTGCAAAAAGGAACCACTATTTCCGGCTCATTTTAGAAACAACATATATACCATTTATTTCCATATACAGAAAGGTGCGTTTATGGGAGAGCGACAGCTATAGTTGTTCCTTTTTGCAAAATGTAATCCATTTGTTTCGATGATTTTTCTACCATTTCCCGATTCAACAAAAATAATGAAAAAAGTATACTACGAATTCCGCTCATCAAGCACTCTCAGATGAAGCAATAAAAAATGTGTGTGCAAATTCTCCATCAGCCTACAGATGAAATCAATTTCCAGGTCGTTGGTGGTTCGAGCGTGCTCAACTACATGCTGTACGTCCGTGGGAATCGGAAAGATTACGACCTCTGGGAGCAAATGGGGAATCCCGGATGGAGTTACAAGGAAATTCTCAAGTACTTCCTTAAATCCGAGGACAACTCCAACGAAGACCTCCTCAAAACTCCCTACCACGCCTCCGGCGGATTGCTCAGCGTCCAAGACGTCCCTTGGACGACACCCCTGGCGAAGGTCTTCCTCAAAGCCGGCAAGTTCCTCGGCTACAAAACCCGCGACATCAACGGAGAACTACAAGAGGGCTTCACGATCACCCAAGGCACAACTCGCTCCGGGTCGAGATGCAGCACTTCCAGAGCGTTCGCGGTAACTGCTCAAACGCGGCAGAATCTGGACATCTCGATGCACAGCCTCGTCTCGAGGATAGGTTTCACGAACAAGAAACACCCCAAAGCCACGAAGGTGCATTTCCTAAAAAATGGCAAGAAGTACACTGTGAAAGTTAAAAAAGAGGTGATCCTGTCCGGAGGCACCATCAACTCCCCCCAAGCCCTCATGCTGTCAGGAATAGGACCGAGAGATCATTTGCGCTCACTCGGCATAAAAGTAGTCAGGAACCTTCCTGTTGGCTTCGACTTACAGGACCATCTCAGCGTTGGCTCGATGTTCTTCCGCGTGGACAAAAACCATACGATCCCTTCTTCCATGCCTCTCACCCCAGAGGCCATTTCACAGTACCTGACGGCAGGGACGGGACCGATGACGTCGTTAGGGACCTGCGAGGGCATGGCATTTATTTATTCAAAATACGTCAACAGGTCCAACTCCTGGCCGGACCTCCAGCTGCAATTCAGCGCGGACAGCATACACTCGTTCCCCAAAGAGATGGCCGCGCAACTTTGGAACCTCCGCGCCGACCTCTTCGACGGAACGCAGTACGAGGAGGTCACCGATGACTTGTTTATGATTTTCCCAATCCTCCTGAGGCCCAAAAGCAGAGGGCGAATCACCCTCCGGAGCAAGGACCCGTTCGTGCATCCAATCATCGAGCCCAACTACCTCGCCGAGCCGGAGGACGTTGCTGTTCTCGTGGACGGAATGAAGAAATCCCTACAGCTGGTCAACACACCGCCTTTCAGGCAGCTCAACGCACGGCCCGTGGCGATTCCGTTCCCGGGATGCGAACGGCACAAGCTGTTCTCGGACGAGTATCTGGAATGCTGCATCCGGCACTTCACGTGGACGTTTTACCACCCGACGTCGACTTGCTCGATGGGCAAGGTGGTCGATCATCGGCTCAAAGTCATCGGGGTCGAGGGGTTGAGGGTCGTCGATGCGAGTGTCATGCCGACCGTCGTCAGCGGGAACACCAACGCGCCGACTATAATGATCGCAGAGAAGGGGGCAGATATGGTTAAAGAAGACTGGGGCTACTCTATCTTGGAGAGTGGGGTTCATTGATCAGTCAAACGTGGGTACTGGTGGCAAGTTTTACTTCGAGGTTAGAAATGGACCGAGTTTAACAGAAAGGAACCAAGCCACATCAGCTATTGCCAAGTTTAAGTAGGCAATTCAATTTTTTACGAGAGAACGTTTGTTCGGATTTCTTTGAAAATTATAAGGAATTTGCTTTGTACCATGGATAATTTTCACTGAAATTTGCACGAAAATTCGCACAACCGTTTTCATGTAAAAAATTAAACTGCCCAATTAAATTTGGCAATAGTTGATGTGGCTTGGTTCCTTTCTGTTTAATGCGGTCCAAATTAGATTTTACACCTTACCAGAGTGTGAACAATTGGTCGCTTCCCGGACAACGAAACGTAACTCCACTCCTAAGCTGCAAAATTGACTCAAACAATTCAATTGTTTACAAGGATGCAAAACTGCATCATTTTTGTTGATAATGTGTTCGATTTTTGTATTAAAGCAGAAAAAACATCAGAGAAGTGTTCAATTAAAAATTCCTAAGTCTAATTTTAACTAAACCTTATTTAGTAGCGATCCTTGAAAGATAACGACACTGCTTTTCCTCAATTTAAATTCATTGGAAATAATGATTTTTGGTGAGGCGAGCTGCCTCGCCAAGAGTCGATTGCTTTACATACCGGAAACAAACAGGAAAATGCAGGAAATGCTTAAATGAAGGGAAAACAGTGTTGCCAAATTTCAAAACCTGCCACTGACCTTACTTAATCAAAATACAAATGAACGCATTTCTGTCAAACGGAACTATGTGTATTATGACATGAGCCCTGAGACCCATGAGAGTATATGCATAACGAGGCTCACGTCATGATGCACATGGTTCCATGTGATAGAAATAGGTACGTCCAAATCGTATATAGAGTCTCCCGAATGAAAAAAGCTGTCTGAAGAACGACTGTGAGTACGACTCTCGATAAAGTAAGGTAATATCTCAGCAATGAACATAGGAAATTAAGTCGTTGTTTTAAGTAATACGGCATAGGAACTAAAGTGATTTGTTTGTACTAGAGAAAAAGCAACAGCCAATCGTGTTCGGACATCATTTACTGAACCTACTTAAAATTGGACGTATTTCTGCCAAACGGAACTAAGCGCCAATTTGAATTCCTTCTGAGGAATTTAGAATACCGGATAGCGCGTTCTGTCAAACGGAACTAAGCGCCATGGAAAAGCATTGCGAGTATAGGAATGAATGAGCCCGACGCCCGGTTCCGCCGCCAATCCAAGCCCCCCTCTACCTTCCTACCCCGATGGCGCTTAGTTCCGTTTAACAGAAATACGTCCAATTATATTCAATTCAGTCAGACTTATCTTTTTTTTTTCTTTAGTATAAGTACCTACCCATCATAGAAACTGTTTGCCCAACTTCAGTGGATAATTACCAATGATATAGAAACTGTAGATTGTTGATGGCCTATTAACGTGCCACACAGGGCTGGATTTACCTACTTGCCGCTCATTGGCCGCCTGAATTTTGCCACCCCCTTCTCATTCGTTTTGAAACATCAATAAAAACCATCAAGCGAACGTGCCGGAGGGGGATGGATTCATAAGACGCTTCTACTCGTGTTGGACACATTTTTTGCGAAGTCCTGTCAACACTACTAGCAAAAGTTCACGAAACTTTGCGCGAGAGTTGAGTTCCGTTAACCAATCTTTGTGTGGACAAGGCCTTCCATTCATAAGAAATGAACGGAAAAATTACGATAGAGAAAACATAAATGTGTTTTAGTAATTTTAACTTCCTCCGCAGCAGCGCAGCGCCGCGCTGATCGCACTGTGTTTGGCGCAATGCGTGAAGTATTCCTAAAATCTTGTAGGCGCTATGCGTCTCACGCTGACCGCACTGTATTTGACGCAATGCGTGAAGTATTCATGCAGTCTTGTAGGCGCTAATATGTGTTTAATGCCGCGCGCCGCGCCAAGGGCTTCTCTCTTTCATCTCAAATCCTCGTAATCTTTGCTCCCTGCGCCGAACCTGATCTATTAGCATTATTGCGCAAACTTTCGTGTGATTTTTTCCTCACCCTTTCTAGAATAATCGCAGAAAAGTTTGCATGATATTCATCGAGTGATACTTTCTTAAGAAATGCAGAGGGATCGGCAAATCATACAAAATGCGATGGAGGAGCTTTGAGGACAGGGCGCATAAATGCAGTTTTTGCTAATTCGAGAGATTCGCGTTTGAATTTTCGAAATTACATGGATCCTTATGGCGGAAAAAGAAGTTCAACTTGACTTTTCAACAGGCCCGCCACAAGGGAGGGGGATACTGGGTACCTGGTACCGGGGCCCGGGCCCCAGAGGGGGCCCGTGTTATCCGTGAAAATCTACTACGAATTCACATGCAACCCTTGTTTAGTAAGAAAAAGTGAAAAATTTACCCTAAAAATTTCGCAAAAGGTGAATAGATTTTCAGAAACACGCTGGGGCACTGTAGAATTCTTTTTAAATTTTCAAAGATTCTATCTATTTTCAAGATTTTTAGTACAGAGGGATATTTAAAGTAACGGCGTTTCATTTTCTTCCGTCGTCAGATGCTAAGGGTCTCCAGTCTGGGCATCCTCGACTTCAATGGCTCATGGCTCAACTCCCTTTCCATAGACAAACAAAGGGGGAGTCCAGGGGAGCCTGACCCTCTTAGAACTGAAAATAGTATCATATGCCCCCCCCCCCAAAAAAAAAATTAAAAATTAAATTTTCCAGATGTTTTGAATGCAACAATTCGCAAGTATTTTGTGCTGAAAGTAGAAAAAAAAACTTAATTCTTCCGCAGAAATTGATGGAAATTTTCTTTAAGGAAGCTTCGTAATGCGTCCGATTAGTCGTATAAATTCTAAAATTTCTCGGGGGATGCCCCTCGGAACCCCCCCCCCCCCTCCGTGCTTGCGGACCGGACCTTAAAACTGGTGCCAGGCCCCGAGATGGGATGTGGCGGGCCTGCTTTTCAATACTTAAAAATTGGAATTTGGGAGCGAATTTTTCACAGAATATGCATCGTAATTTCGCAATTCACGAACGACATTCCTCTTCCGTTTACTTAAGTTTATCCTCTATTAAGCCGCTACATGAAGGCACTAAAGACGGTCGTTAAAATGCAGAGTATCAATACAATAATTTTCTTAATTATTTTGAACAAACGCTAATTGTACGTGTCTATTGAAACCATTCACCAATCTGCAGTTGCCTGAGTGGAAAGTCCTTGCATATCGAAAATAGAGGTATTTTAGGACTTCTTCTCCAGTGTTCTACAGTGTGTCTCGAAAAGTTTCACAAACAGACTATACTGTATAGTGGGTGGTCTCAAAAGTCGTTTCCTTTGACCTAGGAGCTTTTCTTCCTTGCTCGTCAAAGCATCAAATACAAAATTAAATGTAGGTCAATTATTATTTATCGTATAAAGTTTGAGTCCATAGCCAAAAAACGTTGTATTACGTAAACGTGTAAAAACAAGTTAGAATTGGTAAACTTTGACAAATTTATGCTCTAAGAGAACCACGTAAGTAAAAATAAACCAAATCAAAAGGAGCTACACATTTAGATTTTAGGTACTTCTTAGTTTCTTTTTTGTTTTAATTAATAATCCAATTCATGTAATTTATTGAAAACTCTGCTCAATAAGCAGACTTAATAATTCATTGAATTTAAAACGTACCATTACATCTTACCGACTCTGTGTACCAATATCAGGTACTTCAATTTTATTCATAATTGACAGGGTATCTGTTATCCTGACTACTGACCTTAAACACTCTTCTTGTTGTGGAACTTAGTGAATGGATTTTATCATCTGCATTTATCTTGGGCGACATTTGACCCCTCACACCTTTTTGTCGTCAGAGTGATAGTAAAGACTTTAGAAGCCTCTTGGAAATAATCAACCACGATTTGATTCAGTGTGAGTGGTTACATCTCAATCATTCTAAGTGTATTAATTTTAGTAGGAACTTTATAGAGGATTGTTTCTTTTCTAAGGTAAGTAACGAAATTTAAAATGATTTGGACGCGGTTATAAACACAAAGCTCACATCATGATCGTTAGGAAAAAATATAGTTTTTATTTATTTCCTTTTTTTG